CAAATTGTAGTTTACATCCTCCTATGTGTCCAGGATGTGACCCTGTTGACCTGTGGGAGCTGCAGATAGAATAAAGTTCTCCTTGAAACAACCAAATATCTTCCCAGAAGAGCCTTAATTTGACTTCTTTATAGACTTTTTTCAGTTCCAAAGTCAGTTTTTCTTGCTTGTAGCCAAACTTGATCATTAATATTTCATCTGGCACACAATGCAGTTGTTTCTGGAATGTCTTTTTTTCCTGCTGAAGTGCATGGAGAGGTTATTTGCAGGTCTTGTTCGTGGGTGAAATGCATTTACAAGGATAAAACCTGAAAGAACATTAGCAGGACTTGCAACTGACCACAAAAGCAAAGGTTTGATGACAAGAGCAAACAAAACAGCACTTGGAGGCCTGCTGGGAATACTGGCCTTCCACACAAACACGCTTTTAACCTCGCTTCAGCCTTATCCCATAATTCATATCATCCTGCAGAATGTCATCCTCTGCTGGAAGAAATCAAGATTTTGCTTTTATTCCGTATTTCAGCTGCCAAAAAAACTTTCTGAAAATACCCACCCACTAATGAGCTGGGTGGAATCCCTCATGTGGAATGCTGGCTGGAAGTAAGAGATGATTCACGCGGAAGAGTGAGGATATGCAACTTCTGGTACCAAAAAATGGTGATTCACCAACATTTCAAAGCATTTTTCCTTTGGTTGGGGTTTGTTCTAGCTTGGGCTCAGGAGACTTTCAAACAAATTAAACCCTCTGTAAAGCTGGGAAGGCAAAAGAGTTTCCTGTGAAACTGTCAATGAGAGGGTTGTGGAGAAGGAAATTATGGAGGAATGGGATGTAATGAGGCAGTTGTGCAGGTCGAAGGAAATGCCAAGTGTGCTGTTATTCCCTTTGCTCTTCAGGGAATCTCTGTTGAGGAGAACACGATGTACAAAGAGGAAAAACCTCAGCCAAGGGTCAGGCTTGGGCCAATAGATCTCAACAGTGAAGTAGTTGCCATGAATTGTCTATAGAATGGTGGTCATTATAGAGTGGTGGTCATTGCCCCCAAAACTGAGAGTGCACAAATATTTGGAGCTGAAAACCCAAAAAATGGGTAATCATTAATAAATGTATGGTCACAAAGTGGATCTTTTTAAAGGGTGACATTTTGAAACTTTTCTAGACATAACTGGAGCGATCGGCCCCTTTTGTTACATGGATCCTGTTTGGTTACGTTTCATAAGTGACACAGACATTGTTATGAAAATAGCAGTGGCTGATGCTGTGGAAGCAGACTATTACATATAATTTTTTTCCCCAAGTCATTTATTCCAGACTCATCTCTGCCTCACAAATTCAAGGAAATTTGGAGGATGACTCCCCTGTGCCCCACAGCCATCACGGTGTGTTCTGTCTCGGTTACACACAGTTGCATTTTGCTGTTGAATTCTATCTTTATCTTAAATTAATCATAGAATTTCAGATGGGTTTGGGTTAGAAAGGACCTTAAAGGCTATCTCATTCCACCCTGTGCCATAGGCAGGGACACCTTCCACTATCCCAGGTTGCTCCAAGTCCCGTCCAACCTGGCCTTGGACACTTCCAGGGATGGGGCAGTCACAGCTTCTCTGGGCAACACGTGCTGGTGCCTCATCACCCTCACAGTGTTTTCCTGTCTCAGCTTATTGTCCTCTTACATCAGGAATATGTTTGACCACTACATGGACATGCCAGTGTTTTTAACATTGAATTTTTGTTTTAATAAGCAAATGTTATGGCCTCTGTGGGGCCAGTTTGAATTACTGAAGCTGCAGCTCTATAATTTGTTACCCCTTTTAACTGCCTGACCTTTGCAGCGTGCAGATTAAAATACAAGGTGTAAAGTTCTCACCCTGGTACTGAGATGGCAGCACTTAATGGAAGGTGTTGTTGAAAATACTTCGGTTCTTCAGTGTGGCTGGATCTCGGTGAAGCTCTGGCAGGTGATGATTGTTATGCAATTGTACTGGCAGGAGCAATTAGAGATTTACAAGTGCTTGTAAATGCTGCTATTTATAGGATGGACACTTCATTTAACCAAATGCTAATCTTTTCTCAGTGGGAGGAAATGTCAGAGTGGAGAATTTCATCCCTGGGCTGGGAGTGGACTGTAGTGTCTGAAAGAACAGTGTCCTTTTTTTAAAAGAAAAGCATTAGAGGCTTCCAAGAGACCTGCACATGAGGGATGGAGAAAGGAGGTTTTAAATTTTGCAATGCTTTGGAGTTTTAATATTAATGATCTATGGGGCTTTCAGATCGTATCTGGTTTGTGAGATTGGGAATATGTGGTTTTATTCTCAGCCTCCTTGCTTTGATTTTTGAGAAGCAGAACTGAGTTTCTGTGAATCTGGGAAAAGATAATTTAAATGCATTTTATTACACCTTCTTACTTTGTGAATGAATTTCTCTGGGGATATTTTTAAGAATTAGAACCAGTATGACAGTATTCTTGTTAATCTTTGAGAGACCTCGCATGTCCTCTTAAATACAACTGATGGATCCCATTGCAGTGAATAATAATGTGAATCAGGCTTAAACCCAAGAATAGAAAAAGCCTGTTTTTTACTGAATTACTTGCATGATCGACTTAATTATAAAAGTTTCAGAAAAGGCTTTTTTCCCCCCCTCTTTGCGTTATTTTGATTGTGCTGTAGTAAGTCATGCTCTCGTCAGCGCTCACACTCGTGGTCAAGTTATTCTGTTCTTCGTACGTGCACAGTAAGTGATTGGATTAAATAAGAATTAACAGAGCAGATCCCATCAGCATCTCTCCAAGTGTAGGAACCAGCAGCAGGAGGATTGCTTTGGACAAGTGACAGGGACAGCTGTGGACTGATCCCAGGGTATGGGCAGTGAGGACAGGAAGGAGAAAAGAGAGAAGAAAACAGTTTTTAAAGACTGAATAATTTACAACAGTGGGGCATCCCTTGTGTAGGAGGGATGAAATAAACCTTGGTTTAAGGTCATCTGTTCCCAGTAGCTCCTGTGGCTTGTGCCAGGGAAAACCTGTAGGGCAGGAAAATATGGAAGAATCATGGAATTACAAAATGGTTAGAGTTGGAAGGAACGTGCAAGACTACCCAGTTCAACCTCCCAGCCATAATCATGAACAAAACTCTTTTTTTCAGGAACTGTTAATAGCTGTAGTTATACAAATCTCTTCCTGTATTTACACAATAAGGGAGCAAGTTTTGTATAGTGGAAGCAGATTTGCTGATAAAGTTGTGTCTAAAGAAGAAAAACTTTGTGTTTGGTAATTTTCTGTGGAATATTCTTAGTGCAAACAGCCATGGATGTTCACTGCTGGAGCCAGGCTTTCTGCATGGTTTCCACATAGTAAACTGGATTTTTGGTAGGGTTTTTTGGGGGTTTGTTTATTTATTTATTTTTTTAATAGCTGAGAGATTTTCTCTGTGCAATTTTTATGCTTTCCATCCTTAGAGAAGACAGATGGACTTATTTATCTGCTGCGAGGTTCAGGGACAGATTATAGATGATTTTGCTTTGTGTCATTTAAAACATTCTTATTTATGAGCGAGGAAGTTGGCAATAATCACGTGATTCATGGTGGAAAAATTATCTGCAGGCTGCTGCTGTTGTCTTAATAGGCTTAAAGGAATTAGAAGTGATGTAAATAATAGTTGTGTTGAGGGTGAGCAAGTGCGACAAGGGTGTGTTTTGACTAAAGCCCTTCCCGTGTGATTTTTTACAAAAATAACCCTGTAAAGTGAATAATCCATTTTGATTTCTAATGAGCAATGTTAATATCCTTTGTAATGATAGATCTTTTAATTAAAAGTACAAACAACACCTCAGGGCATTAAGATTTGAAGGCTTGGTGGAGCCTCGAGCAGTATTTGCCTGTGTATCTCCTTAAAACCCTGTGGTGGCTCAGCTTGGCCCAGGAAAAATCCCAGTTGCAGATGTTTGGAAGCTGAGGAAGAGGAGCAGCAGAGAAGAGCCATGCCTTCATGTGCCAGAGTTTCTGTTAAAACAGGATGTATTTCAGAAGGAATTTCAGTGCCATTTATGGTTTGATTTGTGTACACAGAACATGCCCCAGCACAGCTGAGGGGAGCGAGGGCACAGCTTGGGCAGCATGAAGAGAAACAGTGCCCAGAATAGGGGACAAGGGGGTTTGGGGGCTCTGCCACACGGGCTGGGGACAAGCAGGGGACAGAGGGGCAGCAGGACACAGCAGCAGGGACAGCTTGGCCAACTGTCCTCGGGCAGAGGAGGTCAGGGAAGAGAACAACAGGTTGTAGCTGACGATGAGGGATTTACAACTGTAGTAGTACGATTACAGTAGTATTACTAAACATTAATAGCATCTGAAATCCTCCCACAATTAAGTTAACAGGTGATCTTTTTAAATTGCCCAAAATTTTGTACATTGCCAGCTTAACTAGAGATATTTGATGAGAGAGAAGCATTTTGTCTAAACTGAGGTGTTTCAAAACCAGGACACAATGCCCAGTGTATGTTATATGTGGCATTGATAACATGATTCCTCTTTATCAAATGGACTTTTTGAATCACAGAAGCCTTTTAGTTTTCAAAGGGGGGTGATTATTTTTTCCCCCAAATATTTTGTTCTTTTCCGAATACTTGTCTACTTTGGGCCCTGTGTCTGTTATGGGGTGTCTGAATTTAAAACCTGAAAACTGACTTTGGGAGATTATGTAGGGGAAAAAGGGGGTCCTGTAAAGCTGGAGTGTGATGAAACTTAGGAAGGGGTAAATTGTGGGTTAGGAATGTTGGCTGGAGAAGTGAGTTGCACACTGTTAGCCAGGATTAGGTCTCTCATTGTATATTCACTGCCCCGCGTTCCGTTGAGGATCAAGTTTTAGTCCATTTAAGAAGCTCTGTGCTCCCTTCTTCTGTTCCAAAGAAAAGGAACTACAGAATGATAGGAGGGAGGTAACTTATTCTCAGGTACTGCAAGACAGGTGCTGTTTTCACAGCTGGATTTTTCCCTTTGCAGTATTGCCCGTGAGCATCGCCCTCTTCCCAGCAACGATTCTGTTCCCTTCAGAGCACCTCCCAGACCTTTGCATCCTTGGAATGTGAGAGCATTTTAATCGGATTTTGGTGGCATTTCTTAGAATAAGGAGTGGGAGAGGGAGGAAGATTCCATGAAGATCTGTGAGACTGTGGAAGGGACAGATTGATGTGGGTAAGCTGCTTGGGTTAGTGGCTATTTCAGAATGGCGAGGTCAGGGATGGCGTCGGGGATAAGTGGTTGAGACAGAACTCCCAAGTGGATTGGAAGATGAAAGGGAACGGGCAAGGTGAGCGGAGTTCATTTGCCTGCCTGAGAGAGGGAGCACAAACAGGGACAAAAATAAATCCCTGCATTTCAGTGCCAGTGTGGGCCAAGTCTGGTCAAGGGAAGCTGAAGGTGAAATAACCATTTCTGCAGACTGCAGACCCAGGAAGGCAAGATCCTGGTTGGGTTCTTTAATAATCACATGCAGGGAGCTCCATACAGAATCTACAAATAAGTATATCTATATGGTAAATTCACACCAAAATAGGGCTGGTGAGAAGTGTCCAAAAGTGCCCCTGCAAAGGCTGCCCAAAAGAGACAGAAGGGTGGCAACAAAATAATTGAGCCCCTCCCTACAAAATATTGCATACATTTCCTAAAAATGAAGAGTATGACATCTTTTAAAGGAAAAAAATCATCTAACCTTACCTAGCTACATGCATCTGCTACAAATTCAAATATATTTGATATTAGAAAAATTCAGGTTACTTCTTGTACCTGAAATTCTAATTACTTCAGGTTTTCCCTCAACTCTGCAGTAAGAATTTAATTAAAACCAAAGCTCTTCTCCTGCATTTGCTGGCGAGATACTGGAGAAAATTGCTTTGTCATGGTAAAAGTTCCATTTTGATTGAAAATCACCCGTTTGCAGGTCAGCTGCTCAGGTAGCACCTGCACAGACTGCTGTCCCAGAAAGGAGCTTTGCAATAGAAAGTAAATTACAGTAATTGAGATTATAGTAATGCAGAGCTCTGTGTTTAACCAGTGATTGACAGCACTTGGATTTGCAAACAGTCTCTCTGAAATGTGGTTTTAAGTGTGTTCAGGTTTAGTGTGTCTGCTGTGCAGCCTGAGTTATTCCCCCTTCACTTTTCTGTTACACCTTTTAGTGGTATTTTCTTGTTGGTTCTTTAATACATGTTTGAAAAATAAACATTTTTTACTTTATAGAATAGTTCAATCAGGTGACTTTATACTTGGGAACTAGCTTTTTTTTCTTTAAAATGGTGTGGATTTTTGTCTCCATGGCATTACCTGTGTAGGTCTGGGTATGTGCCACACCCAACTCTGAACTCTCTGTTTATTTGCAGGTGAGGTCTGGGCAGTGTGTCTGCAGTGATTGCTTTCCGTGTTCTTAATGTGACCTTGGTGACAAAGCTCTTGTCACTATGAGAAGGGATTCGGGCCCCGTGGGTTGGTTGCAGCAGCAAATGCAAATTATGGTAAGTGGGAGAGTGGGGATTTGTAGGATTGTGGTTATTTGCATTGTTTAGTTCTGGGTGTTGGCTGTTAGATAACAAATAACACCTTCAGTCACACTAATCCTGGTATTTTTGGCAGTTTGAAAGTACTCACTCAATGCACCTGGCCAGCTGCTTATGTTGTAAAGAGGAGTTGACGTTTGTACATCAACATGGAATCTTGGAATTATTTGGGTTGGAAGGGACCTTAAAGCTCATATCATTCAAACCCTGCCATGAGCAGGGACACCTTCCACCTTTGAGGTTGGTCAGAGCTCCATCCAACCTGTCCTTAAACACTTCCAGGAATGGGGAGTCCACGAGTTCTCTTGAGACCTCTGCTTCAAAAAAATAAATTAATTCATTTATTTCTAAGTATCTCATCCTTTAAAATGGACTCGACCAATGGGACTCAGTGCTGTGCAGAGACTCTTGCAGGATTTGTGATGTATTTGGTTGTTGGGCCAAATCAGTGAATAATGGTGGTTCTTGCTGTTTTTTAGAGAAGGAACACTATGTGTTTCAGCATGATACACTCTGGAAACAACATCTCTGAAAGGCACCTTGATCTGAGTTTGCTTCCTCGTGAATTTAAATGAGAATGATGATATTTGATCTTCATGCTGACTCTACATCAATACTTGCATTTTTCTTTTTTTTTGCAGATTCTTTTTCCCCGTTGGAGTTTTTCAGTTCTGTTGAATGTGTAATTCCAGCTATGGCAACAAGAGTAGAAATAAATTCTCCTTTGGCGTCTTTGACGGCAGTCCCCGACCTGACTGAGCTCCGGACCGAGGACAAGGCACAGCGTGTGTATGTCAGCGTGCTTTCGGACGCGAGCAACAAGGCCAAGGAGGCTTCAGCATCACTGACTCTCGAAGAGAACAAGAAGTTTGGGAGTTCCTTGAGATCCGCAACGATGCCATCACTGGGATCGAGGCCGAGACTCTTCCCGAAGCCTTTTTCTAAAGAGAAGCCTCCAGAGTCTTTTGCAAATGTTAAACCCCCTGTCCCAGCTTTCAGGTCCAGCAGTCGGATCAGAAAGGCCCCTGAGGAAACGTCATCTGTGAAGGTGTTGAGTGGAAATGTTCCTCCGTTAGTAGATCAGAAAGTGATCGAAACTGAAAATCGGGGTGACGGTGAGGTGGTCACAAACATGACTTTCTACACTGGGCCCAGTGCCAACACGGTCATTCTGTTCGAGCCAGCGGGACCAGAGCAGGCCAAGGTCAGCCTGGCCCAGGAGAAGAGGGCTCAGGACCGCACAGGATTTGCTGCTCTGCAGACAAAGGAGATTCAGTGCAGTGTGAAACTGGAGAAACCATCCGAGACATCCAGGAATGCTGAAGGATCTATCCATAGGCAGATGTCGTTTTCCTCCAGTCTCAGACCAGTCTCTTGGAACTCCCTCAAAACTGGGGAAAAAAAAGATGCTCGTGAAGTTCGTCCAGGGGAGAAAACCAATGATGATGCAAATAATCTCAACAATAAAGTTGATTTCTCTATTGATGTCCAGCAAAAGGCAAAACACAGACCAGTGTCTGCTATTTTTCTGGAATCCTTACGAGATCAAAAGCATCACACAGTGGAAGCTTCTGAGGAAAAATCTCCCACGGAGAAATCTGGTGTTAGGAAACCAAGGCCTTTGTCCATGGACCTGACAGCTAAATTTGAACACAAAGATCTTTCTTCTTGCAAGAAGACTTGTTCATCCCATGAAAGCAAGGAAAATGTATCCATAATTACTGTTACTGATGTGAGTTGTCATGATCAGTCTGAAATGGGGCCAAAATCTGAAGAAACTGACTTTAATAAAAGCAGTTCTTCTAAGACAAATTTGAAATGCAGTAGCCAGGACATTGGCATCTTAAATAATGGGAAATACATGTGGGAAACAAAACTTAAATCTAAAAGTGAACAAGTTGAGACAAAACCAGAAATAACTACTAACTTGCACGGTTCTGAAAGGAGCCCTGAAACAACCAGTGAAAGCAGAACTAATAAGGGGGGGAAAAGGGCAGATCAGAAGGAAACGTACATGTTTCTAGGCTGTGAAAACCCTGCAACTTCCTCGGAAAAAGAGAGTAATATCTTAAGAGGAAGTGTCAAAAAACACATTAGTTTGTTTACTTCAGAAAATCCCAGTCCCGCAGTGGATACGGAGCTTCTCCCAGCAAGTGCCGAGAAGGAGAACAGGTGTGTGACCATCCAGCAGAGAATCAAGGAGCTGACAGCAGAAAACGCTGACGTTAAGGTGGGGAACCTGCGCAGGTCACCGCAGTCACGGCCGCTCTCCGCGGACCTCACAAAGATGTAAGTTGCAGAGAAATTCTGGTTTATCCTCTTAGTGTCGTTCAGTAGAACTTGCTCTCTCACTCCAGTAAAATAACTGATCATTTGGCTTCCTCTAAATGTAGTTCTTCATGCTGTTATTCTCTGAGCCTCTTTACTGCCTTTTTGTACCCAAAAAGAGATAAAATTTAATGAAGTATACACTGACAGCTAAAAAAAATAAGTAAATCTGCCGATATTGTGGCCTTTGAATGCAACTGTAACTGCAGATCCATGATTAACATTTCCTGCATTTTACAGTCTCGAGGTGAGCCTGTGGACTGCCAGCTCATAGACTGGGGAGAAAGCAAAAGAATGGTCTTCCTGACAGTGGTGTGGGGCATCAGGATTTACACCAGGCAGGATTCTGATTTCACTATTGGGATCAAAATAAATAAGTTTAACTGAGGCATCTCTTTTCACAGAATCATTGAGGTTGGAAAAGACCTCCAAGGTCATGAAGTCGAACCATTGACCGATCACCACCTTGTCAACAAGAGGTGTTATAGTTCATTATGGATCTCTAAATTTTCTACTATAAACTAAGCTACATAACTAACAACTTTTTGGGAAACAACAATCCTTTGGTCTAGATACAATTAATCCAGCAAATACAGTCACTTCCTATGAAATAGTGATGTTTTTCCTTTAAGAAATGAAATTTATTTATTGGAGAATTTTTACCAGTCTGCTTTAGGTGTGCAGTGAACCAACACACTGACTAACTGGACTAAAGAAGTAATACAAGTTTTTTGGTTTAGGTTTTCAAGTCCAACATCAAGCAGTGAAGCAAAGCCTGAGAAACCTGCTGAAACCAGAACTGACCCTATCCATGAAACACAGGAAAATCCAAAAGTAAGGAAGTGGCACAGTGAGTGGGCTCCAGCTGGGTTTGCACTCGGAGGGCAGTGAGTGCTGTCCTGTTCTGTGTGGTTTTATCAATCAATGACTTTTCAATGGGTGTTGAGAGTTTTATTGCTGACACAATCCCAGGGGGTTTACTGGTGTGAGTCTGTCTTTAGGACATACCAATAATGTACAGGAGTATCATGTTTGCTGAGCTGGTAAAGTTCATTGTGCACACTGTTGAATGTGTGATTGCTAGGGAGGGAAAAGGATTTTATGTACTATTCTTAAAGAATTCTAACATGTGAAACCCCACAGTGAATCCCCTGTGGCTGTGGTGCGTTTGTGCTGTGATTATTCTTTATTTTCTCCAAGCACAGCATTAGGATTGTGCATTCCTACATCCGAGTCACAGCTCCTGATTAATCACAGCCTGGACCTTTCATGTCAGTCTCCTCAACAACAATAACCTGAGCAGTTTAGACAATAGAGTGTTCCAGGGAAAGTGATGATTTGCTGTGGAAGCTTTAGGCTCTCTTTGTTTCTAAGCAACACCTTGGTGTTGCAAAACAGAACTTCTCTGTTGACGCTTCTTAGTAGAGAAGATTTAAAGTAGTTAAAGGGTGTTTGTTGTGAGTTCTCATGGCTGTGCTTTTTTCCTGTCTAAGACAGGAATATATGGTAAGGAAACTAGGAGCTACAGGTGCAAAGTGTCTGTAGCTTAGTGTTACTTTCAAGAAGAGCAATTTTTTTTTAAAAGGAGATCTTTAATGTAAGACAATAAAGTAGGAATAAAAAAATTCCTCTGAATTCCTGGAATAATATAGGTCAGTCTTAAAAATCTTTATAAATGTCTTCAGTGTTGATTTTCTGACATTCTTCAGCTTTTTTAAGAGAATCTGGAGTCAACTCCAAGTTTTAAATTTTAAACTTGAAAAGAACATTGAACTCTTGTAAGACCTCCAGTATTTTTTGATTATTTGATTCCCTGTGTTGCACAAAGTAGGTGCAAGTAAGTTTTACAATGAACTTTCTTAACTGTTGGATTTTCTCATTCCAGAGTAAGGAGCTGAAGGTTGCACAGGGCACAGATCTCACAGAAGCACATGTTACTGGGAAGCCTTGGAAATCCCGGCAGGTTTCAAAGATAACCAGTACACCTGATCAACTAGAGAGGAAAGGAAGCTTCCTCGGGGATGCTCAGCATTTCTCTCAGCAGAGTGAAAGTTCTGTCTCGTTCACAAGCAGTTTCGAAAAAAAATTAAACCCAGCACTTCTGGAAAAGCCCTTCATTAAAACTGTCCGAGCCACCATGTTTGAGCACAATGTGCAGAGACACAGCGTTGCTGTTGAGCACTCTGGGGCTGATGCTGCACTGAAAAGGAACCAGGAGCCTGAGGCAAAGCAAGACGTGGTGGTTTTGGGGCCCAGCAGACGGTCATGGATAGGAGAAGGGGAGGAAACCACCCCTGCAAAGAAGGAGCATTACAAGCCATCTGATTCATCCAAACACACAGCGGATGTAGAGAAAAGTGGCAAACCAGCTTGTTCAAGTGAAGAAAAGAAAATTATTGTCTTAGAAAAATCTTTGGTTGAGAAGAGTGAAAAACCCAGTGCTAAAAATGCAGAAGATTCTCTAATTTACCAACGAATAGAGCCCAGGTATGAAGTCTTTCAGACTTGTGGGGAAAGGGCTCTTAGTGAAGCCATCACAATGGCTCCTGAGAAAAAGGCCATGACACTCAGAGCTAGAAAATCATCTGTGAAAGAGAATAAAACTGATGAGGAAGTTGGGCACATGGGGCAGTCAGTGAGGGCAAGTAGTCACACTCTCTACTTGAAAGAAGATATTGCTGTTTCAGAACCTAGAGAGATAAAAGTTCTTACAAGCAAGGCTGTGTTGAGAGAACCTAATGATTTTCTCTCCAGTGAATGCACTTTACCTGAACAGAAAAAGGACTCTGATAAAACAGAACCTGATGCACTGTTAATAGTAACTGAGAAAATACCTTATTCCACAAACAAAAGTAAAGTTTTGGGAATTAATGAGAAAGTAAACAAGCTACATTCTGAAATTAGAAGTGATAAGAGTGAAGTCTCTTCCATAGATAAACCAGAGAAGTCTAATGTGGTAAAATGCTCTTCTGAGAAAAGGAGTTTTCGGGCAGGTGGGACAGACACTTATGAATTCAGAACCAACCTGGATCGTGAAGTTGTTTCAACAAGTGTGAGTAAACACGGGGCCCATTCTTCCTCAGGGCTTTCAGGTGGACAGTTTTTTAAACCTTCCAGTAGCCACCATCCTGATGCAAAAGTACAGACCATAAATAAAGAGGAATCCGGGGCCTTTGGGTTAAGGAAAAGTCTGGACTTTAATTTCAAAGAGCGAGACTTTAGCTTGGCTAGTGCAGCTCCTGAAAACAGTGAAAAACTCAGAGTAACAGATCCAGAAGAGAAAATCAGGAGAAGCAAAAGTAGCGTTTCTGACTTGAAGATTTCTGAAAGGTGGAGGAGGAGGACCTTGCCTCAGGAGTCGGCCAAGGCAGAAGAAGTTGTGTGGTTCACTCCTGAAAATATCAAGAGGCTGAGTCGGACAGATTTATTGCAGTTGGATGAGGATTCACTTAAAAAGAGAAACAAAAATATCAAAGAAGGGCTGGAAGGGAGTGAGGCAAACCAGGCTGTTCTTGGCAGTCCTGATGATTACTTGAAACATCAGAGTTCTGTCTTCGAGCCAAAGGCAACTTTTTTTGCAGTGACTTATCAGATTCCTGGTATCAAAAAAGAGAAAAGCTTTGTTGGTGCTCCCAGTGCAAGTGAAATTAATACGGTTTCCAGTTCAAGTGGGGGAGCAGCAATTAATGTGGACCCTGTTTTTCCTGGAAGGTCCAAACCTGTATTACAGCAACCAAACAAAAATGTGATGAGTACAGCTTGTAGAGAGGACTCCCGGGAAGTGCATATTAGCAAGGATTGGGTCAAAGAAGACAACAAAGATACTGTTTTATCCAAAAATATTGCGTTTGGTAATTTTCATATGTCTAGGAAGGATAACCAACAGCATCATGAAAAAGGCCTGGATCATTCTAAAGAGAAAATTATAGATGTTGATGCTTTCCTGTTAAAACAGGACCTGGAAAATACAGTTCAAATTGATCTCAAAAGTAGCAGAAGGAAAGTCTCCTCTTCTCATGAACCCCGATCTCCCCCATGTTCAGCGCAGGTACGTAAAGACAGTGAAACAGACCCCCAGAAAAGGAGTGAAAATAATCCTGATTTACCTGTCAGGAGGGCTGAGGATAGTTACAGATCCCAAATTCTAGATATTGATGCACTTATGGCAGAATATAAAGAAGAGTCAGCCAAGGCCAGTAAGGTTCAAGGTAAGCTCTCTGATGATTTCAGCTCATTGAGTAGGGAGAAATCAAAGAACAGAAGAAATGTGTCGGATAGGACAAGTCTTTCCTACAGCTGGAATGAGTGGAAGAGTAGATCAGATCACTCTTCTGTTACTAACAAACCAAGTGAGTGTGCAGAAGAGCAGCACAGGCCAGAGAAACTAACTGTAAATGAAAAGAGCAAAGAGAAACTGGAATTACGTAGCCCTGACTTTGATAAGCCGAAGTCCAAAGACAGAAAGTTCAGCCCTCCTTACTGGGGAAGTCCCAGCATCTTCTTCTCAGAGAAGTTTGTAAATTCACCTGTGGAGTTCAGTAGGAAGAAAACTTTCATTGTTGATGAGGACGAGGAAGTGAATTTAACCTCCAGGAATCAGAGTCCAAAATTCGTAATCGAGAAGGTACAGCCTGTAAATGTAGTGGGAACAGACCAGAGGCTGGAAGCCAATTTTGCTTCCAGGTTGTCCATAAAGGCAGATGATGGGCTCTTACAGAAGAGGTTGGTGACTAAAGAACAGTTCTTGGAGGTGTCTCCAGAGGGTGATTGGAGCAAAAACGTAGCGAGGAGCTCCACAGTGAGGAGCAAAGACAACGCAAATAAGGCGACATGTGAGAGCGACTCTTCCGGTGTGAAAATTAAAGCTGATTGGAGGAGCTACACATCTGGTTTTGGAACGGCCCCCCCGGATTTGAGACGGTCCTACTCAGAAAAATACCGCCAAGGAAGAGACAGTCTGCCACTGATGCAGGAAGTGAGGGGAAGGAAGGACCTACATCAGTCCAGGCAGAGCTTCCCCCTGGAAAGTGTGGATCATGGGTGGAAACACAAGATGTCAGCTCAGTCAGAACTGTTCTTCCATGAAGATAAAAAGGTATTTTCAAGTGGTATCAAATTGTTTCCTGTAACTGAAACTGAACTTTATTTATTAAGGCCTTTCTTGTGTCTTGTACCACTTTTCAGCACCAGCTGTGACTCTGCAGCAAAGGAGCAGGTTCATACTTTTTACTAGAGTTCATTTCCTTTTGGGTTCTGTTTTCTTGAGGAATGTGCGTTGTACTAAATGACCAGATTTTTGCTGTAAGCCCATAAATATTTATTGATGTTTCCATGGAAAACTTGAAAAAGCTTTAAAGTTTATTGTATTGTTAATGCTATGAACCTGGGATGGTAAATTGTTAACTCTCCAATTTTATATTTGCTTGGAAAAAATTGATTTGGTTTATTTTATAAGTTGTCAGCAGCGATCTTTTTGGACCTCCCTTTGGTTTTTTGTCGTTTTCTGAATGAAGCAAATATTATTTTTACTGGGCAAATGGCCTTCATTTGTCTGTGAAGCTTCACTTATATGAGAGACAAGAGATTCCCTTAACACAGTGACATGTGAATGCAATCCAAAGGCTGGACGTGATGAGCTTTACCAGCCTTAATGATTCTATGATTAAAGCATAGGATGTTCATGGCTATATATCTAACATCATTCATAACTGCTTTTTACAGGCTTCTAGGAAAGAGTGGACCAAGCAGAGTTCAGACAAAACAGAGGGAACAGACTTTTCCTCGGTGTCTGCTCAGAGGAGCCGCCACAGTTTCTATAAGGAGAGAAGAGTGGATTTTTGGGCGGTAGGTGATCTTGGAGGAGGTTTCTGGGAGGGATGAGGGAGGTGCAGCTGTTTTCCTTCTTGCAAAGGCCTGTGACGGAAAGTGTGTGTGCCTGGCAGAGATGCACTTGCTGGGGAGTTGAAATGGCAGAGGATGCTCCTCCCTGGGATCCCACTGCTCCCTGCCAACCCTTCACAGGCAAAACATCAGCCGTGCAGCTCATTCATTTTGCTTCATAAATGAGGAATTTTCACCCTGATCTCTAAAGAACTCTCTAGAGCATTATGCTTTTTTGTTGGTTTCTCAGATATTGAAAATGACTTGATTTCAGATTTTTATTTCTGGAAAATTGTGCAGACAAACAGAACAGTGCCAGAGCCTGAGAAATGGAGGGGTTTAATTTTCTTTCTGTAGGCAACACACAGAGAAGTGTTTCTGTGAAGGATCACAGCTGACATTTTGGGAAATCTGATGTCTCTTTAGTACATATACTTTTGGGGTGAATTCCCACTTACCGTTGTTGGGTGATACTTCCAGTTTTAGAAGGATGTTCTCACTTTAGCCCACAGATAAATCTGTGTTGGGAGATAGCATTCTCCATCCAGCTGTTGTCCTGAAATACAAAACAAAGGTCTGGATGTTCCAAAAGCTACACAATAAATGAAAGATTTTATGAGGGAAATAAAGAACTTGAAAAGGGGAGACTGAAGGATGTTTCCACACTGACTGTATCAAGGTCAACCCTCCCCTGTCCTCTCTCTCTGCCAGCACATTGTGTGGTGAGGAGCTGCACTGCCCTCTGCAGAGGCCCTGTTCTGTCATTAATCACTGTTTGCAGCCCTTTAGCAGAGAACACACAAAAAAAGATAGGAAAGGGACTGAGTTCTTTCTTCTTTTCTAGTAGAGAAAAAGCAGACACTCAAACCTTTGAGGATCTTATAAAAGAGTCTCCTAATAGGGGTTTTGGAAACAGGCTCATATTGTTCTTCAGTTCCAGTCTTAAAACTTCATGGAAGGTATCCAAAGGCTGATGACCCCTTCTCTTTCCCATTCTTAGCGTGGGCTTCATCTAAGGAGGAGTTTGAGTTATTTACAGAATTGGCAGTTATCATTTAATCCCTTGAAGTGGTTACATGCCATCAGCTTATGTTGCAAATGTGTAAAGGTGTCATTGGCAAGGTAGGATATGTGGGAGAGAAGTGCTGTCAGAAGGAGTGCTGGGATGACTGAACTGTTCAGGTGCTGTACTGGGATAAATATGACTGCTATTCTCCAACTTGGTTGTTAACTGGGAGGTTACTCAGAATAATCCTTTAACTTCACCAAATGTAACCTGAGACAGTGAAGGAAGGTGGGAAAGGAGGACTCAGCCCTAGGAAAATAGAAAACTCCTCTATTGTGTGTGGCATCCCCTGGAATTCAGTAGGGTCTGAGTGCTTTACTCCTCTGTGTTGCTTTGGAAAGCCCCACAGGGTGTGTTTGGTGTGCAGTGTCCCGGGAGCCAAAGGGGAGCCTGGTCCTCCTGTGTGTGAAGTGTGAGCGAGAGGGTGCACGGAAGGGGCTTTTACCTGCTTTTGGAAAGTGGAAAACTCACCACACTCGTGTCTTCGTAAGCCCCACACAGATATCACAGGAAATTATGTAAAACCAAACCATTTCTTGTGCACCAAGGTTATGCCTTTGTTTTATTTGGAGAAAATACAGACTTGCGGTGTGGAGTCGCTGTTTGAGCAGCGCGTTCCAACACTCCCCTCTGGTGGAGAGACACATCACAGTGCATGTGAGATGGAGGAACACGAGGGGTCAGGAAAGAGCCACGGCAGTCACAGTTAAATCATGTGTTTCCTCGGAATTTGAACACAATCTCGTGACATAGTGCTGCTGTTTGGTCGCTGGCCTGTGCAGTTGGGAAGTTATTTGTTTTTTCTTGTGACATAGTGACAAAAAATATTCTACAGTGCATATTCCTGGTCACTTGGGATATTGATACTGTTCAAGTGACACTGAGTGCTCAAAGTGATGAGTGTCATTGTAGAATGAATGATTGTTTCACATCCACCACTGAAGCAGTGTGACGAGCTGATAATGATATTCTTTGGTATTTGACAAACCAGCTTACATGAGTATCTATTTGTTGCATTATGCCCCATAATTGCTGTATTTATGATAACAAACAACTGCTTGAATGACATTTGCCAGGGCAGCTGATGAACTAGGTTCTTGTGGATGAGCACGGTTTTATGTGGAAGCAAGGAGTGGTAGTATGAATTTACTTCTGGAAAAGTAATTTCTTTGTGATGAAATTCCAGGGAATCTACTGTAATTAGGTTGTTTTTCAAAACATTACAAAGGACAACTTTGAAATCAAATGATTACAATATATTTGACAATAGGGGATTGGTGTTTCAAATTGCAAAGGATGATACTCTTGAGATTTAACACTCATCTAAATTGCATTTTTTAGCTGTTTTGAGTTTGTATTGCTTAAAGAACAGAGTAAGGCTTTTATAAAAATTCCTGTATCACTGCTAGGCTGTCGTCATGTCATCATCTGTGGTTTTACTATGGGTGGTACTTGTCTCTCTGTGTTTTAACCCTGCTGCAGCACAGTGTAGATATAAAAATGAAGTTGTTTTTATGTTTGCTCTGAACAGAGTGGGGGTTTTACCTCACCAAATCAACTGCACATCTCAGACCCTGTAGCAGGCAGAGCTCACCTGCACCGCTCAGGGCCTGGGGCTGTTCTGGGGGTCTTTCCCTTTAGAGGTGGAATGCAGGGGAAGGGACAGGTGTGACCACCTGTAGCATCCAAACCCACTCTGGTTTGTAGCTGGGGTCGAACATGGGGCTGTTCTGCACTCAGAGCTGCCCGGGAAGGCCCCAGCCCTGCAGTGTGTCAGGGAGAAGCCCTGGGAGTTCAGGAGGCGTTAACAAGTATTGAATGTCCTGAACTGCAGTGATCCCATCACAGCTGACACAGGGCTTTAACCTTCTGACGTTCGGTCACAAACCTCAATTCCTGATTGAGTCACCAAGACTGATAGAAGTCTTGGCAACTAAAACCTGAGGAATGTGTGCTGGGACTCATCCTCCAAATACAGTAGCTGTGGTTGTGCCGTGGGGACACCTTCAGCTGGAAATGGAGCAGTTTTAGAGCAGCTGTGGGTTATAACCAAAATTGCTGCTTTGGGGAGATAAAACATAGCACTCTGCTACTAGAACTGGTGTGGGCATGAATTATTTGGAAGCCTCTCCTCATTTATTTATTTTACATTAAACTTTTTTGTCCTTTGGAGAGGAAAATCTCTCTACTGGTCTCCATAGAAAGAGGCATTTATTTAAGAATGTGATGTGTGGGTGGAGGAGGGTTTGTTGAAGAAAATCATGAGCTGACTCTTAAAATATTTTGGAAACGAACTGCAAGCGAGAGAAGATAAATATTTTATAAACATGTGCAGATGAATTTATAGTTTGGCTTGTCACAGTTCACCAGTTGTTTCCAGTTTTGCCCCTGACAAGTCTGTCTCCTACCCACTGAAAAGCAAACCACCTCTTTTTTGGATTCTGTAAAGCCTCTAATATTGCAGCTTTGCTCCTTCCCAGGTGGAAATGGGATGTACTGAAACCCATCATGTGTGAGTTGCTACCCAAAAAACTGACTGAGCCTGGAAGAAAATCAAAATAATTTGTCAGCTCTGCAGGATCTTATAGATGCTGATTAGAAAATGAGGAGTATTTTTCTTAAAAAAACACAGAATTTCAAGGAAAGCAGGCTGCAGCATCCTGGAAGCTGTTTTGTGTCACCTCCACCTTGTTCCTCCCAGGGCAAGGTGAGAGCTGGAGTGCTGGGAGGGGACAGGAAGCTGGGACATGAGTGCTGGGAGGGGACAGGCAGTGGGGCCCTCTGTGACGGGGTCCTGGCACTTACCTTTCTTTCTTCCATCAAAAAAAGGACATAGGTAAAAAAAGCGGTGTTACAGTTCCCATTTCTGCTCTTCACAAACCACCCACCGCTGATGTCCATCAACTCCACCATTTCCTATTTGTAAACCCAGCCCGAGGAGGTGGTTAAAACTCGTCTGCCTGGGTTTTCTTCCTTTTTTGGCAGTTTTCATTTGCTGGGAACATTCCAGGGGTGTATAAAAAGCCACTTTGTTGTGTCTGTTTCTTCTCGTTCACAAAAGACACTTTTATGTTAAAAGAACATAAAAGCAGGAGCTTTTCTTGCACGTGTGGGTTTTTCTTGTGCATCACCGAAAAACAAGGTCAGTGAGCGGCCCCGGTGGCATTAAGAGCGTTTCATAACCAACCCTGCAAACCAGGGGGGTTTAGAGCTTCTCTTTCCTTCTGAAGGGCTTTTTACTGCAAAACCCAAAGTCCTGTCACTAATTCTAGCCTAACCCATTCCGGATTATGGGGATGGGAGCAGTGGGAGCACTTAGATGCTCAATAATAAGTGGGTAAGTCACGTGCTGCCGGTGGCTCAGCGGCTGCTTCTGAGTAGCCCCAGAGTGTGTTAAAGGCGCCGAGCCCGTGGTGACGTGGGGCCCACAGACACACACGGTACATTATTCATGTTGCTTTTAATTGCTCCAGTCTGCTTTTAAGTTGTGCTGGAGGCGGGGAGAGCAGGGAGGCTGCCTGGAACGGGGATGGCTTTGCGTTAACTCGGCGCTCTGAAAATGGAGTATTATTACTGTCCCCGGCTGCTGAAGTTCCTGCAGTACCTGTGGGTAAGTGTGCTCCTAATGTCACTCTGCTTCCTGAGCTGGGTGTTCCCAGAAATCCTAGGAATGTTCATATGTAGTGAAGGCTTTACTTGGCAGTTACTTTCTTAGTAATATGAAACTGGGGATTTATTTGAGTAAGAAAGGCTATTTTATCTTTAATACTCATTTAAAACTTCAGACTACTTGAATGCACCGCAGAAAATGCTCTTGGGAGTCAAAATTTCTTCCTTGTTTATCCCTGTCCATGGGAATTGTAGTTTAGCTTGCTGTACATTAGGAATATTCTTCCCT